ATTCCTGCGTCTCATTTCTTATCTTTCATTTCCTCATTGGGTGATAAACTGACCAATAAATCTTATCTCTTCTGAGATAGGGCTTCATTATAGAAAAAGAAAACGGCAGTGCAGCAACTTCCAGGCATGAGGCAGTTTCCTTTAGGAGTGCTTTTTCAGTAAATTGATGTTTCTAGGGAAAACCCTTAAGTTTCCCTTAAGTGAACAGATTTTCCTTCGATACTGGGTATTTTTTTTTAAGGAATAATTACAAAATACAGGTCTCAGGTTGTAACTTTAAAGCTGAACACAAGTGATATGAATTGGGAAACTGCTATTTTTTAAGACATACCATCAAAAAAGCCAGTTTTAAAGGTATCTGAAATCTGTGAGAGTCTCTACATCAACTGTTAACTAGTTTGCTATAATGTCGTAGGGACTGCAAAGGCATATTGTCACCAAGGTGGAATTATTAATTTTTTTCTGCAGTTCTGTATAGATGTACCTAGATTGTGTTTTCCTTCCCATCTCCCCTCCTTTGTGAGGAAGTTACTTGTGCCCAGGTTCTTTGGCATTTGACTTAGGTTCTCCTGGTCTTTCTGTAACCAGCTGTGATCTCACGTTTTCTGCTTCTCATGTAACCATATCTGTACTTCTTTTCTGACAGGCACCAATTTTCTTAGCTGCTCCTGTGTTCAAAGAAGGCTATCTTAAAGGATTGCTGCTTCTGTGAAGCCTAGTTTGTCTTTGTTTTCTGTAAGAAACACATCTTTGCCTGTATCTACAGAAATAGGATAATCACTGAAATATTTTTAATTTTTTTTTTTAAATCTGCTAGAGAAATTTGATCAATCCTATGTGATCCTATTTTCCAAAGTTTCTACTTCAGTCTTTTATTTTCCCCACAGATCTGTGTTTTGGTAGTTGGTAGAGGATCACTTATGTTGCCTCCAGCACTGAGCCTCCATGGTACTGTGATGGTTTAGATCTGGCACTTTTTGATATGAGCCCTTTCTAATAGGCCTGGAAATAACTTCATCAGAGTTGATCAATCCTATGTGATCCTATTTTCCAAAGTTTCTACTTCAGTCTTTTATTTTCCCCACAGATCTGTGTTTTGGTAGTTGGTAGAGGATCACTTATGTTGCCTCCAGCACTGAGCCTCCATGGTACTGTGATGGTTTAGATCTGGCACTTTTTGATATGAGCCCTTTCTAATAGGCCTGGAAATAACTTCATCAGAGTATGGGAAGGATGAGAGGAATAGAGGGGTAAAATGGGGGGGGGGGGGGGGGG